CATTTCACATGCAATAACTCTTTGAATAATTTAAATGATCAGATACCTGCAAGCATCACCCGGAACTGTGAGGACTTGACTTTGAAAGTAACTCAGTATTTTCAGATGGGGATGAGAGATTTCAGCTTGCGGAATTTTTGCCATCCCACCTCCTTCCTTTTGATATAGTTGTAACGTTAACCATGAGAATAGTTGCAGCAACAACAAAAATATAAATCTAAAGCCCAAGCTTATTTCCCATCCAGAATTGTTACTCCAGATAATTAAAACAAGCAATTGGAAGCAGGAGGAGGGAATCGTATAAATGTGAACATCTTCAAATTACATAAAGGAAAGGGAAGTCAAATAAATGTGGTTGCATTCTTAACATTGATTACAAAGAAATCATAGCCTCTTGGGACAGAAAGAAAGCATAAATAGTAGAACTCATAAAACAAGAAAACAACAGAAAGCAGTAAACTATAAATTATAACAATTCTAAAACTAAAAGACAAAGAATTAAACTACATGTTACTCATAACTTATAAAACCTTAAAATTAATACTAACAGTGAGAGAAAAAATTAAAGCAAAAGATATTAAAGGACATAGAAAGATTTTTTTTGTTGAGAATAGAAGCTTCACCAGTGAAGAATATGGAAGTCATGAACACTAAATAACAAATCACCAAAATATATAAGCTAAAACTTGTTATCAATGGCTAATACAACTGTAGTGAGAGATTTTTGTACATACTTTATCTCTAATAAATTAAGCATACTTTATATATATGTGTGCATATGTACATATGTGTGCATATACATACACAATTTAAATGATTATATACAGGAATGTATATTAATATACAGTTGTATGTATAATTCATATATATTTATATTAGCTATCTCTATATTATATTGTATTATGTTGTATTATATATGTAATTTAATAAGGTAATACATATTCTTTCAGGTATCCATGAAATTTTTATAAGAACTGAATATACGCCAAGCCCCAAAGGAACTTCAATATAGTTCAAAAAGTAGAAATTGTGTAGGTGGAATTATCTGAGCACAACATATTGCTTAAAAATTATAGAAATAAAATAAGTTTGCTTCTCGATACAAGTGAATCTACCATTTGATCCAGCAATCCCATTGCTGGGCATCTACCCAAATGATCCAGTGACACTCTACAAAAAAGACACCTGCACTCGAATGTTTATAGCAGCACAATTCATAATTGCAAGGCTGTGGAAACAGCCCAAGTGCCCATCAATCAAAGAATGGATTAATAAAATGTGGTATATGTACACCATGGAGTACTATTCAGCTCTAAGAAACAATGGTGATATAGCACACCTTATATTTTCCTGGTTAGAGCTGGAACCCATACTACTAAGTGAAGTATCCCAAGAATGGAAAAACAAGCACCAGATATATTCTCCAGCAAACTGGTATTAACTGAGTAGCACCTAAGTGGACACATAGGTGCTACAGTAATAGGGTATTGGGCAGGTGGGAGGGGGGAGGGGGGTGGGTATATACATACATAGTGAGTGAGATGTGCACCATCTGGGGGATGGTCATGATGGAGACTCAGACTTTTGGGGGGAGGGGGGGAAATGGGCATTTATTGAAACCTTAAAATCTGTAAAAAAAAAATAAGTTTGCTTCAAAATAAAGGAAAACGGAAAGCTACAAACAACAATGAGAAATTGAAATACACTTTGATAGAAAAATGAGTTTAAGCTATGAAAAAAATTAAAGGTCAAACATTAAGAGATAGATGAAACTGAAGAGGTTTAAAATAAAATATAAAAACTAAACTAATTAAATTAAGGATTGAAAACAATAAATAAAAAAAAAAAGAAAATCTAGATGAAAAATCTAACCATAGAGGTAAGATTAAAAATTGAGAACTAAAATTAAGGTAAGGTAAAATATATAAAATATAAGCATAAATAGAAAATGAAAAATCAAAGGGATTGAATGCAAATAAGAAAGTTTATGCAAGACATGAACAGAGAGCAAAGTCCCCCAAAGTAGGAAAAGAGTGAAAGTTATTCAGGAAAATCTAGAGTTATTCAGGAAAATCTGGAAGGAATGTGATAAAGTGCCAAAAAATGCAAAAGCAATAGAAATATGGACTAGAAGAAAATTTTTTAATTTAAGAGCAGACTTGTTTCAGGTGAATTGCCCAACTGAGCTAACACAGATTCCTCTTTCAGCTCAAAACAAGTAGAAATGTTGGACAAAATACGCGAAAATAACGTTGAAAAACATAGCTGAGCTCAAAAGAGAGGAAGGCAAATCTCCAGGTGCCAGAGCAAAGAAGAGACTCAGGCAGAAGGCTTGAAGGCTAGAACTCAGGGTTCTCTGGCAACTCTACATTTTAGTTTTACAGAAAGCAGTCTGTGAAGGAGATATGTGTGCAGAAAGTCGACTGGGATCTCCCGTGGGGGAAGCAGAAGAAGGACGTGAACTGGGATGCTTGGCAACGAAGTCCTCAGCTGAGCCCACAGGGTGTTTGGAGCTGAAATGATCCTTCAGAGCTGGTGCTAGTCACAAGAACTGGCCTCTATCTCCATAGCAGCATCATTAGATGGGACCCGGCCCCAAAAGGTAGAATGACCTTAGGACAAGTCCTTGAGAGAGACTCAGCTGAGACGTATCACACAGCAGCTTCCAACATCTGGAAGAATGAGCACTTCAGTCCTGGGCCACAGGGAGGGGTGGGGAGTTTGCTTCTAGAGAGATACATATAATTTTCTTTGATTATATAGATGACTTATTTCTCAAATTTTTCACAGTTCACTTAGCTGCATCTATGTAATTTTGATAATCTTGAATTTTTTTTCTTTCTGAATTGTTGGGAAGATACATCAGTGGTCCACAGTCCTATCCCTAACAGGTGTACAAAGACACTTACATAGATGTTACTTGTGTATAAACACATTAATTTCAGTGCTAGTTATATTAGCAGAAAAATTAAAAATGACCAAAATGGCCACAGATATGGGAATAGTTAAATTACATGCAGCCATTAAGATTATGTTTTCAAAGAATGGTAACTAAGATGTTAATATGCATATGTCCACTGCATAGATTGTATGATTGCAATTTCCTAAAACATTGGCTATTTAACATTTTACTCTAATTGCTAATGCATAAAAATATATGCAAAATAGATCAAAGCAATCTCAGAGTTTAGCTCTATAATATATGGATTTTTAAGTACCTCATATTTTCCAAATTATCTAATATCGTGTATTACTCTGTAATCATTAAAAAACTGACAATGTTTATAAAATAAAGAAATAATTATGTTGGATTGTTTTATGCTCTATTAATTTGCAAGTTTATATTTGATATGAAAACTGATCTGTGGGAGCAAAACAGTATTATACTGAGAGTAGATTTTTAATAATATTGTCAACATTTTTTCAATCTTATTTTCAACACCATTTTCAAGGTGAGTAGAGGGAAAGAGGAGCACCTTAGGATTCCTAGGTCCTTCTCTTATCTGACGTTTCTCTTGGAAAACAAAAGTCCCCAAACTGTCCCACTCTTTGTGTGTGTACCTGCCATGTGTCGTGAGTGCTTAATTTCACCCTCTTTTGAAGCCTTTCCTGTGGCTACTTCTGTTGTTCTAAAGTCAAGTTCCCTTTGCTTATGATTCCCATTAGATGGGAGGACATGGTCAAAGGATATTTTTCCAAGGTCACAAATCCCATCCATAAGCAAGAGAGGAATCCACAATTCACACCACCAAAGGGGAAAAAAAAAATGATAAATTGCATAGTTCAAGGGAATTTTGAATGAATGAACTTTTTCTCTACTAGAATTTTCTTCTTCTTTGCTTAAATATATGGAATAATATAGGAATTAGTTAATTTTTATTTTATTTTCATTATTTCAGAATATTATGGGTGTACACATGTTTTGGTTACATGATTGGCTTTTGCACAGTTTGAGTCAAAGTTACAAGTGTGTCCATGACCCAGTGAGTGGGCATTGTACCCATTAGGTGTCAATTTACCCATCCCCTCCTCCCCACTCCCACCTGCTTGATTTCTGTTGAGCTTTACTTCCGTATGTGCACATAGGTGTTGATCGATTGAGGATCTAGTTATTTTTAAAAGTTCTCATATTGAAGCATTCTACATAGAAACTGTGAAGAGGCCCATATTAGTGTTCATTACTGTTTAAGGTTTTCTTCTTCTGTTCTCTCTTTCTATTTCATGTCCTCCCTCCTTTTCTTCCTTTTCTCTTTCTTTCTTTTAGATTCAATTCCTGGTTCCTTTGCTCCAATCCCTGCATCTCTCCCACCACTCTCTCTCTAAGATTAATCTCATCTTCTCCTCTCCAAGGGGCCCTTCCACATTTCACAGCAGATTTCAACATGCAGGGGTGAGCCCGGAGGGAGAGGGTCATTGATAACTGTGGTTTCAGAAGCTTATGTGCTTGAGAGTCTATGAAATCCTCCCTGGCCCCAGAGACTCTAAATTGTTTCAATCCATATTTTCTTTGTCTTTTATGGCTTTTAAAGTTTCACATCCAATAACCACATTTGTATCCAAAGCATGGATTTTCAGAGTTTGACAAAGCTGATCCCGCGGATTCAATTTCCATAAATCCCTTAAAGTGTTTAACCAACTCTTTTCACTTTGCAAAAATGTCTCTGACAAAAACACAGGGGAAAACAATTGTTCTTGACATCACAACAGTTTAATATGTTAACTTAGTCATTAAATTGTGCTTCACATCAATGGAAATCCTCAGTTCTACAAACTATCATTTTTAAATAGCAATAAAGGTTGATAATGCCACAATACAATTTCCTAGTAACTGAGTTCATACATCTTATTGTACAGAAACAAAAGGAAATATCTCTTAGGAGAAATAATTTACTATCTATTGAATAACTATCTTTACATCTAAAATGGGGCACCAGATAAAAGTCCAGATTTTTCTTTCCAACATTGAGCTGATACATTAAAAGAAAAATAATGCAATCAAAACACAGAAAGTTCTTCCAGAAGAAAAAAAAGAGAAGAAAAGATGACCACAAGATTAAAAAAAATGACAAGAAAGAGGGAGACAAATGTGACAATGACCAAATCACACAAAACTCTGCTCCTCAGAACACTTTCCCTGCCAACAACCGAGGGTTTGCAATCTGGCCCTTTGATGAGTTCCTATAGTGCAGCAGAACGTGTAGCTCACAGAGGTTCCACTGAGTGCACCAACAGATGACAGTCGCAGTCTTTTCCATAGACATCTTGGAACACAGGCTCAAGAAACATCTGGGCATCCGCTTTCTCAGATCCGGAGTACTATTAGGTTACCTTGAGTCCTTGCCTGGAAGTTCAGGGACTTTTGTCTTGCAGGTGTTGCTGGTGTTTATAGCGAGGCCAGTCGTCTGGAAATGTCAGCACCTCTGCAAGGCAGGTGGCTTCTGTCAGCATCTTGCGAAGATGGGTCCGTGTGCATTCTGTCCATTAGGCTACAAAACACACAGGTCTCAGAACCCGCCCACTGGCCCGGAAGGGCTAATTCACAGTTTCAGGGAATTAGCTCAGATGTGTCCAGGTGAATGCAGTGAGAGAAGAGCAGGCATTGGCTAGTGTCCAGTAGAGATGGAGGGAGAGGATGGGAAAGAAAACCAAGAGTGCCCTGGAGAAAGAACACATTGCATGTGTTCCTTGCAGATGACACAAAATGGGTAGAATCCCCAGACTTGGCCAGCCCTGCTACCCAGCCTGGAGAGATCAGCTGGGGTTCTGGTGATGAGTGGAAGCACAAAAACTATGGGAAAGGAAAACCTTAGAGTCACAGCTGTGATCAGATCAGGGTATTCTTGCCAGGTTCAACCCAGCTTTCTCTTTGATCCAACTCCTCCAGCTCAATCAGCCTGCAGTCCCTAAAACCATCCCAATGCTCTGTTCGTGTCTCAACATCTTCATTCATTTATTTCTTTCAAATAGCGATAAGAATTACAGTCCACACGTTTCCAGCCTGCCCTTGTTCTCGAGGACAAAAACTGTATCTTAGTTATTTTTCTGTTTTTCAGTATTGCGTGGCATGTGTTTAGTTTTGGAAAGATCTGTCTCCCTTTCAGGAGGGAGGCCCACTTTCCTCTACAATTACCCTTACTCTCCCTAACCTCCCATCTCTAAGTGATCCCATTATACAGGACTCTCCTCTCAGCTAGAGGTCACGGCTGGAAAGAAATCAGATAAACTCTCTGCGTGAAGATGCTAGCTTATGACAGCTTAAAGCATTTCCTCTCTCCAGCGAATGTGCAAAGGGACTCATTTAACACCAAATTAAACCTTTGCGGACTAAAGCAATACATTACTGATAAAATGCCAGGGAGCTGGGAAGAAGAAGTAGAGAAAGGGAAACTTTTTTTAATAGGGGTGATATCGATCACCCCTTAAGCTTTGCTAATCAGGCAGCGACTGATTCTGAATATTTCTAACACTGAGCTTCCCTAAGAAATGGCGAGCACATTCCCTCAGCCTTCATCTTGAATGGGTTTGGGGTCGGATGGGGTGGACACCCAGCTAGAAGTGTTTCAATGTCTCCCCTGAGTCTGAGTGCTTCTTGGTCTCCCCTGCAACATGGCCCATTTCTTGGACATTTCTTTCCTAAAAAAAGACCCCTCACTGGAGGCAGGAGGCTGAGAGTCAACTTGACCAGTCTTTGGCACTTTCCAAGTCACTGCAGTTCCACAAAAAGATAAGGGAAGATATAAATCCATAAAGATTTAGATTTCATCTTGCAATTGCCAGTCCCATACTGGTGCTGAGTAGCATTAAATAGCAGGAAATGCTACAAAGTCGAAAGACTGGGGCTCTGAGCAACTTTCTTGCTAATAAATTAGAATCTTTGAGACATCTCTCAGCATGTCTGAATCTCCATTCCAAACTGTCAAATGGAATAATGAATAGAGGTCGTATTTAACACACAAGATTTTAACAAAGATCAAATGTGATACTAAATATAAAAATGCTTTGAAAACCATTAAATGCTATACAAAATGACAAATTTTAATCCTATCTTTTGCAAATTATATGATGAAATAAATGACAGTGAAAAGACTTGAAATGTTTTTTGATTCTCTTTTGTGTTGGATAATGATAGTTTTTAATCAGTATTTTCACACTGTTTCTTTAATAATAGGACCTCCACACTTATCAAGGCATGTGGCAACCAATAGTAAAGACATTTCCTTCTTTGCAGCTAGATGTGGCTAATGTCTAGGGTCTAGCCCATGAGATGTGACTGTAAGCAACATATACAACTTCCCTTCAGTTCCTCTGGCCTGTTGGAAATGTACATGAGATGGCAGGAGCTGTGGCAACCATTTGGTCCAGGAAACAGAGGCTATACTTTAAGATGAAAGAGCAACAAGAGGGCCTGGGCTTCTGCAATGTCACACACCAGGGCTGTCAAACCAGTTTGTCTTTCAATCACAGAGAAAGAACTTCAATCTTAAATCACTTATTTTGAGTTTCTCTGTTAAAACCACTAAATGGGAATCTTACCCAATACATTCATATTTAATTTTAATGATCTATTCTAACCTCCTTGCTAGGTCTATCTTGGCAACTTTCTTCTCAATAGTTTTACTATCTCCACTCAGACTTTTGAAAAAGTTTCTTTAAAGGCATGACCAAATGGCATCCTCATATTTCAAACCTCTGATCAAACTGTTCATGATAAGGTTACCTCCTTTAGATGAGAAGAAACAAGTCTTTATAATTTTTAATAAAACACATGATATTTCTCACTGCTATCTGACACTGATTGCTGATATTATCAATTATTGGGGCAAGTATCCAGAGAATTCTCAGGGTAGTTTTCTCCAGGTCCCAAATGCTAGAAGGAGACAGAATAGTGTATATCTTAGTCCTTAATAAAATTTAAACACACACACACACACACACACACACACAGGCACACACAGGCACACACATGTACACAAAGACACTTCATCCCAGTGTGATCACTGGCATTGCCATTGCCAAGAAAAGGGAAGGAACATCTATCTGGGAACTATAGGAGTTCATAAGATGTAGGAACCCCTGGGGATTATTGTTTTTGTTTTTTTGCCTCTTCTTAGACTTTTGACACTAATGTATGTGGAGGTGACTTGGTTTGAGACTTCAGGCTGCTGACTTCCATGGACCCGCAGGCCCAGGTGCCTTCCTCTGGCATCACTTCCTTGGCATCACTCCGCGTGTAGGTGGGCAGTCAATTTTCAGAGAACAAACTGCTTCCCTACCTCTCCATTTCGATCAACATAGTACCCCAGGGATATGACAAGCTCACTGCTTTAGAATGAAATGATATGAGGGAGGAAGCCCATGTCGGTCTTTTTAATTTGCTCTACACTGGCCTTGGGCCAACACAAAGAGCTGGTTTCTCCTGTGAGCATCCGGGCACCCGGTCTCCAGTGGAGAACCACACAACACACCTTCAGCAGAAGGCAGGGGGAGCCTTTGATAGGAGCCCCGAGGTGCCTAAGGAACAGTGTGGAGTTAGCAGGGGCTGCCTCCAAGTCTCTGCTATGCGCGGATTCCCTGCCAAAAATGTAAAGTGAGTTAAAAAGAAACAATTCGAGTGCTTTCTAACTTGTTTTGATTTTCCACATGACAAAACACCGGGTTGTTATTGTGTGTGCATGCGTGTGAGTGTGTCACAGTGGCAGGCAGAGGGATAATTTGCAGCCCTGCTATTCTAGGCAGAACATTAGATCCTAAGAACAAAATGTGAAGGGAGAGAGAGAGAGAGAGAGAGAGAGAGAGAGAGAGAGAGCGCTGCTCATGAATCCCAGCCACAATCCTCCTGCCCTCCCTACTTTAGGAACAAATCATCAGAAGGGGACGCACAAATACTTCGTGAGCTTAACCTCTACCAACTAACAGGCAATATTTACTTGGCCCCTTTTAAAACTCACCCTTGTGTATGGCTTAAGAAGTACAGCTGCCTGAAAAGTCATCACTCTCTCAGCTCATTGAAGGGTCAGTGACATGGCCGGGGTAGGTCCTGACCCAAGGCAGCACAGTGCTGGGTCAGTGCTGTTAGCTTGTTGCTGTCACAGTTGTGCCACCCACATGGGTTACAGAAAAACACTTCTGTGCAATAACAGATGGCTTCTTGCATGATTGGCAGGAAGCTTTAGGCAGCATGAGCCCTTAACGCATATGGACAACATGATGGACTACAAAAGAGCTTGCACCTTGCAGTCAGCTGGACCTAGCTTGCAATCTGCGAGGAAGCCACTTACTGTCTGCGGGCTCCACCTTTCTCATCTAAGAAACTGGGACTAACTATACCTACCTTGTTGTGCAGAATGTATTTAAGGTGAGAAAAGGGCCAACCTTGGTTCTTGGCCCAAGGGAACCACCCAGTAATGTCTTCTCTTGGGCAGTGAGGGAAGTTCCTCCAGATCTCTGTTGGATGGAGACACTGCTCCCCCCACCAACCCCCACCGTGCAGGTAGACAATCCATGAATGCTTAGGGGTTGACTGACTCAATCCCAGAGAGAGTATTCTGGAGGCTGAGAAGTGGCTTACGCAAAGCTGGCTTAAACATCAAACATGTGGGATATCAATGAAATAGGCTTTTCAATCTGATTGAGGAGTTTCACTCATTTTGCCCTCAGCTCCTTGAAGGGATTGATCAGATCAATCTGTTGTGAAACTTTCCACCTGCTCTGATCTGCCTAACAAACGCTTGCAAAGGCTTTCTCTTCCCCCTTCCATACTTCTTCCTTATTATTCAACAAATTTCTCGTGATGGCAGTTGTGATTGGGAAGGGGTGACTCTAAGGGGCACTTGGCAATGCAGCACATTTTTTGGTCCAGTTTTAAACACCCTAGCCTGATTTGCTGGCGGTTGCCACAGTCTAACAACACGTAAAGATCATGTAGAAAAACAAAAAGTTATCAGGCTGGAGATAGTTACGATGTTGGGAGGTAGAGTCTGTCTCAACTCCTGGGATAACTGTCCCATTAATGGTGTTCCATGTCTCCTGGCCTACATCAGAGTTATTATTCATTTAGTGACCTCGAATATATATTTTTATACATGCTGCCTAAGCATGGTCGAGCTCTTTTTAAACAACTTTTCCTCTGTGCTAGCAGAATTTCAAGCCTGGCAGGACCATATCAGAGAATAAGACTGCTCTAAAGAGGTTAAAAACCCTGGAATATTCCTTTAAACACTCAGGTTCTGCAGCCAGTTTGGAAATGTTAGACATATATTGATCCTCCTGATAATTTTTCTCTCCCTTAATTTGTCAGTCATTACTCACGTTGAAAATAAAAATTGGTAAAGCGTGATTTCCTTAGGCATCAGCAAATAAGCAAGTTTTGCCCTAAATGTCCCACCAATGTTCATTTCTCAGGGGCCACAACCTCCCCTGTCCTTTATCCACTCCCTGTTCCCTAAATGATTGGGGGAGCGGGGTTAGCATGGCTTAGGATGTGGGTCTCTAGCAATGGTCAACAGTGGGGTCATTTTCTTTAAAAACAACTGCAACAACAAAACACATTACTTTTGTTTTAAATAGCAATCCAATAGAGTTCAAAGAGGAGAGCCGACGGCCAAGCAGGGGTTGCCATAAAACCTCATCTAAGGGCTGAAATGTTCTTCCCTTTCTCTCTCTTTAAATATTCTCAGGACAGAGACAGTATGTAACAGACCAGTCTCAGCAGAACGTCCAAGCCGTCATTTGGGTTTTCTCGTGAGCTTCTGTGGGTTCCAGTTAACCCAAACTATAACCTCTGCCACCGCAGAGATCTCCGGGAATGTTTCCTTTTTGATGCTTCTCTCCTTGACCTTCCAAAGCGGGCTCTACTGGACGTAGTCCCACCCTATTTCACATCACTGATTGAAAAATGCAGAGAAAAACAAAAGAACGAGACGGATAATCTCCAGCTGGATAAAAATGAAGACAAAGAGGAAGCAGGTGTCCACATCAGGCACATACAGCCAGATGTCCTCAGCATGGCCCAAGTGCTCCCCAAGGTAATGCAACAGAAGGGCAACGTGCCGGCTCATCCTCCCCCTCCCAGAGAGAGAGCGAGGAGAGGGCAGGGGGTCACCATCTCACCACCTGGCTGTTGTAGTCCTCAGTGACAGTCCCCTCTGCGGCCCCATCCTGCTTCGGCCACCGGTGGCCCCTGTGCTCCCGCTGCAGCCTGCGCTCCTCCCGCCTCTTTTGGCGGTCCCTCTGGTGCTCCAGCTGCTTGGTGTGGTGGTAGCGCTGCTGGAAGAGATCTTTCGCGTACTCGTACAGCTGCACGTCCAGGAAGTTCAGCTCCTCGATGCGCTGGCGGGCCCCCTCGTTGATGTCCACGTTGGAAGCCCGCGTGATGTTGAACTGCGTGAAGGGGGAGATGAACTTGAGGTTGAATGTCCTCTCAAAGAGAAACTGCGTCTTCCTCTGGAACTCGGTGAGCCCGAAGAAGGCCATGTTCTTCAGGTTGTTCTTGGCGCTCTGCAGCAGGATGGTGTTGCGTTCACTCTCGTTCATGAAAGTCAAGTTGTAGCAGCCCACCAGGCTGAGGTCGGCCAGCATGCGCACCTGGCGGTTGTTGGCCAAATTGTAGCTGCAATCCATGAACTCCCGCAAGCTGACTCCAGACCAGTCGTCCCCAGGGTAGCAGGTAGGCAGCTCATCCGGGGTGGGGCTCCTTCCGTCACACATGTGGAGGGAGGTTTTCCACGTGGCCCCTCTCTGCACGTGTTTCCACTCACTCAGGTAACGCGACACCGGGTCCCGCAACATTGTGATGTAATAGAAATTCCTGCAAGAAATCAGAGGGACAGTGTCAATCGTCGGGCAACTCTCACAGAGGGATTCTGAACTTCCGCAATTTTATATCAGCATTGAGTCAATGGGCTCTTCTGCTACATGTTCATGTAGGATGGTTTGCCTGGATTTGTGCCTACCAGGTGCATGTGTTTCCATGCTCACGTATGGACTGGTTTTCAATGCTAAGTTCGCTGGCCTTTTCCTCCCAGCTGCACGGAGGGGAGGGTTGGGGTGGGAGGAGTAGATTATTCATTCATGCAGCAATTATTCACTGATAAATTACTACTGGCAGTAACAACATTTTACATTTAGGAAAAACACCCTGATTTTAAAATTTATCACCCATCTGCCACGATTTTATTTGATCCTTACAATAAACCTTTGTAGTAGATGGGATATTATTTGATAGGGAAACATGCAGATAGGTTAAGTGATTTATCCAAGTCATGAAATTAGAATGGGCAACACTGAAACCCAATTTTCCTTAACCTTATATCTTTGTACTGCTATTCTAGATTATGACATAGGTGGGGCTGGGGAAGGATGGGTTGGGTTTGGAGACTAAGCTTAACTGAGCACCTATTATATGCTAGGAACTGTGCTACATGCTCTGTGAATGCTAGCACAGGTAGTCGTTAACATAACTTTGTCAAGTGGGTTTTATCACTATTTTTTTTTTTTTAACAAAATCTGAGGACACAGAGGATCAGAAAAGTGACAACTATCGCCCAAGATCCTAGAGCAAGTTAATACTTGCCCTGCAATGTACTCTAGGCCTATTTGATTGCAAAACTCTTTTCCTTTCCTGAGCACAACATGGGTATTTATAAAACAAAATTGTAACTTATATTTATTGAGTGCCTATTAATTGTCAGGTACTGTGGCTATTATAATCATAGATCTTATCTCATTCTTATGACATCTAATGGAATATTGAAAAGAAATATATTTGTAAGTGGTTATGTTCAGAATGACCACAGAGATCAGGAAACCTCTGGTTTAAAAGGCCAAGAGAACCCTAAAGAGGTAGAAAGAAAGCAAGAACTTTCTGGAGACGTTGAGAGACGGGCAGAATAACAGGAGGCACTGAAGGAAAGTAAATATTGGTTCAAAATAATGAAAATTCTTCTCAGAATTTGAGCAGCCTACCTATGGAATGGGGCTGCCCGCCCCAACCTGGTCACCAAGAGTGTCTGGGCAGAGCTTGGAGGTCCACTTGCCACAGAACCAAGCTTCGCAGCTCAGCCTACCCTACCTTAAACGTGCCCAGAACACTTACATTAGCCTAGAATGGGGCACAATCATCTAACACCTAGCTTATCGCATAATAGAGTGTTGAATATCTTGTGTAATTTACTGAATATTCTACTGAAAGTGAAAAACAGAATCGTTGCATCGGTACAGTTTCTACTAAATGTGTATCACTTTTCCACCATCATAAAGTTGAAAGATCAGACGTTGAACCCTCCTAAGTCGGAGACCTCCTGCAAATTTAAATCGAAGGATGTTGTAAACTTGCATAAAGAAGAAGCTGAAAAAAGAAAGTTGTAAGAGGCGGAAAATCTCTCTGGCCCCTTTATTCTCACACTACTCATCTTCACTTCTTTGTTAAAGATTAAGGCTGTCACATCAGGACAAGTTCTAAGTTGAAGAGACATGCTTGTCACCCAACTCTCCAAATGGCTTTGGTATGGAAATTTTATTGTTGCTTTCAAAGGAATGGTGAGGAAAGGATAGGGGAAAGAAAATTATGTTACATTTTGAGTATGTGAGAGAACTAAGTGTCAATGGAGACAATAAGCTCAATAGAGAGGCGAAGTCAATAGAAAAAAAACACTTTCCTAATTCCCACGGAAGAGAGCCTAACCTGTAGAGGAACTTGAGAAATATACCAGGAAAGAATAAATTGTTGAAGGCTTATATTAGATTTAAAGGAGATAGTTCATTCTTCCAAGTCTAACTAATCACTGACTATCCCATTTAGGGAAAAATACTTTTTTAAATATTTGGGGGCAAAAGTTTTTAAGTTTTTAAAAAAATCATGACAATACAATTTTATTTAGATAAACTTACTGAACCACTTGGATGCCAAGTGCTTTCTTGTAGCCTAGTGCCTAAGACCCTTGATATTGCAAACTTATTAGATGCCATTCATGGCGCTAAGCGCATTTCAAAATCCTGTGAGGTGAGTTTATGTTACAATTTCTTTTTTTCACTTAGTGTTGAATAAGCTAGGATTTGGGGAGATGAGATAAGCTACTCAAGGTCACACTGGTAGTAAATTACAGAACTTGGATTTAATCAGGTTTGACTTACTTTAAAAAATAGTAACTATTGCACTCGAATGTTTATAGCAGCACAATTCATAATTGTAAAGCTGTGGAAACAACCCAAGTGCCCATCAATTGATGAGTGGATTAATAAAATGTGTTATATGTATACCATGGAATACTATTCAGCTCTAAGAAACAACGGTGATATAGCACATCTTGTATTTTCCTGGATAGAGCTGGAACCCATACTACTAAGTGAAGTAAAAATGGAAAAACAAGCACCACATATACTCACCAGCAAACTGGTATTAACTGAGCAACATCTAAGTGGACACATAGGAACTACATTAATTGGGTATTGGGCAGGTGGAGGGGCGAGGGGGGCAGGTATACACATACATAATGAGTGAGATGTGCACCGTCTGGGGGATGGTCACGCTTGAAGCTCAGACTTGTGGGGGGAGGGGGGCAAGGGCATTATTTGAAACCTTAAAACTTGGACCCCCATAATATGCTGAAATTTAAAAAAAGAAAAAAAATAGTAACTATGTTATAAAGAGAAAAATCTCATATTTTATAAGAATAATTCAACCTAGCACTTGTTCAACTTGGTCAAGCTAACCTGTATTGCAAAAATACGAATCTAGTAAAAGCAATGAAAAAAAAAAAAAAAGGAAATTACAGGTGCAGTATTTTTTATTCTGCTTTTTAAAAGAAATTGAACTGTAATATTTAAAACTATGCATTTTCTATATTCTGTTATTTTGACTGTCTAGCCTTACCACTAGGTAACCAGACAGTTTTGAAATGTACTAAAGAAACCTTAAAATCTTATGTAATACTCACTTCCCTTTAAATCAGGAGGAAGAATTTACTGAAACTTCTGCCAGGGACAGATGAGCCCGAGCTCTTGCTTTTGCCAATCACCATCTTACATGACTCCATTGTTTTCCACTGTGATAGAATGACAATTCCATCAGTGGACGAAAATTTCCCAAAAGGTCAGTGGGGAAATCAGAAAATGACTGGCACTGCTTCTGGGCTCCATAAGGAAATATTGACGATAAAGTTTTTCTCAGAGTGGATGTTACTATTGTTGGATATTATAGGACATGTCATTATTAATCCTGCTTTAGTCCTATGCTGGGATTTGTTCTCATTTCAATTCTACCAGCAGAGGCTGATTTTGTTTCACAAAACGATTGCATAATACATATATAAATATAATAATGATAGTATGATTTCGTGGGTTAAGGATGCCAAATGATTTAAGAATTGAAATCAGAAAGATCTTTGAATTGGGTCAAATAAGACCACAAATGGAAAATTTCTAATTTCCCTGTTAATTGGAGAAAACAAAAAAACACAAAAGGATTTAAACAACAACAAAAGGCCGATAGCAATTAACTGGTAAGTCTCAATCTCAATTATGTGTCTCAAATTTGACATGATCCAGATTTTTAAAATAATCATAAGGGTTGGAGTATTTGAAGGCTGTGAATTACAAATGTTGGTGACATAAAGATTTAACTGGAAACTGCTGGAATATGAAGAAGAGGCTTTTGCCTCACTTGGGAAAACTGGCCTTAGAGCTTCTGGAACCTCCATTCCACTGGAAATCTACAAAATCTCAAAACTGACTGAAACTGGCTTCAGCTTAAAATGGTCCTGATTTCAAATTAAACTTTATTCAGTTTAGCATTACATTAATGATAGCTAGCTACATTGATATTTACATAAGCAAAATTAAGTCCCAAATGTCTTCAAGTTCTACTAGCTAACAGGGTCCACATGAAACTAACACTGGTATCAAAACATAGAAATGTATAGTGGAACATTTATGATGATGAAGTACAAGTCGTCCCATCTTATGGTTGGGGATCCAAGTGGCTAACAGCATTTGGGAATGGCATTGGTCAGACATAATCTCATGTACGATTTGTTTGTGTAAATCCTGCAAAGCAGTCAAAATAGAAAGTTAGAAAAATAGTAAAAATAAACTAATAGGATTGAAGAGCACCTAACTATTGAAGAAATATCAACTGAAAATGTGATTAATTAAATCATTTTTCTTGTCTCTATTTTCTTCCTTCTACTTTTGTTTATGTTTCTACTTTCAGACAGAAAACTACAAAAATGATGTCTGGAGAAATGATGTCCAACTATATTTTTGCACCCATTTACCATCTCCACTTTATCCCTCTTGTCCCTGCTACCCTCTTATAATCATCATTCTCCTCTCTGTCTCTATGAGATCTACTGTTTTGAATATTTAGCTCCTACATACGGTGAGAACGTGTGAGATTTATCTTTCTGTGTTTAGTTTATCTCACTTAACATGTGGTTCTCCAGTGCCATCCATGTTGTTGTAAATGGAAGGATTTCATTCTTTTTGTGGCTATAGAATATTCCATCATGTATATGTACCATTTCTTTATCCATTCATCTATCGATGGACACTTATTTTGATTCTATATCTTGGCTATTGTGATAATGCTGCACTAAACATGGGAGTACAGATATCTTTTCTATATACTGATTTCTCCTCCTTCGGATATATACCCAGCAGTGGGATTGCTGGACTATATGATAGTTCTATTTTTAGTTTTTTGAAGAACCTCCATACTGTTCTCCATAGTGGTTGCCCTAATTTACATTCCTGACAACAGTGTACAAGGGTACTCCTTTCTCCATATCCTCACTGGCTTTCGTTATTGCC